TGCCAGGAGCCCCTAGAAGCTTCTTGTTCCTAGTAGTAAGGCCAGGAACCCCTAGCAGCATCCTTGCTCCTAGTAGCGATGCCAGGAGCCCCTAGAAGCTTCTTGTTCCTAGTAGTAAGGCCAGGAACCCCTAGCAGCATCCTTGCTCCTAGTAGCGATGCCAGGAGCCCCTAGAAGCTTCTTGTTCCTAGTAGTAAGGCCAGGAGCCCCTAGCAGCATCCTTGCTCCTAGTAGCGATGCCAGGAGCCCCTAGTAGCTTCTTGTTCCTAGTAGTAAGGCCAGGAGCCCCTAGCAGCATCCTTGCTCCTAGTAGCGATGCCACCCCTAGTAGCTTCTTGTTCCTAGTAGTAAGGCCAGGAGCCCCTAGTAGCATCCTTGCTCCTAGTAGCGATGCAAGGAGCCCCTAGTAGCTTCTTGTTCCTAGTAGTTAGTAAGGCCAGGAGCCCCTAGTAGCGTCCTTGCTCCTAGTGGCGATGCCAGGAGCCCCTAGTAGCTTCTTGTTCCTGGTAGTAAGGCCAGGAGCCCCTAGTAGCGTCCCTGCTCCTAGTAGCGATGCCCTTTGCTCCGTTCGTAGCGTCCTTACTCCTAGTAGTCCAATCAAAACAGTTCCCTAAGACATCTGGAATCATCTGGAGGCCATGCTTTTTGCTGGACTAAACAACTTCAGATTCTTGATTCGATGAACATAGGGTACAAATATATACTGAGTATAATATATATATATATATATTGATATTATATATGTACAAATGCTGTGCGATAAGATGGCTTCACTTATTTTTCTTTGCAATTCTCAGACGGGTCGAGGCCTTCTTCAAATGCTTTTTCTTCATCCTGCAGGCTTTGCTTTCTCGCGATTCCTTCGATTCCTTCAATTTGCAGTCCTGCGCGGCAGAAAACATCAAGTTTGCGCGTCCTCTTGGGATGGTTTTCTGAAAAGTCCCATCATGTGCTCGTTTTTTGGCCAATTGAATTCTCCCATAGGCAGCCACTTAAGTTCGCCTAAACAGTCTCGGGTAGCTTGCAATACCCTGTATAGTATGTCGAACAAATTTCCACCCCCATGTTGATTCATTGTCGTTGCATATTTGCACACTGTAAACTTTCAGCTGACTTCCTCAGTTGTCAAGAAGATCGAGATTGTCACTATTCCATTCCCCTACTACGGTAGACCTGAAAGTGATCCCACCTCGCTGATCTCACAGAAACAGAACAATATTTTTAAAGTCAGACTTTCTTTTTGAAACACACAAACTAAACCAACCGAGCCGGTGAAAAGGCACGACGAACAGGACAACGAGCCAAAAAGGAAAGGCCACGACCTCTCCGGCAACGTTGGATGTCCATCCTTCGAAGCCTCCACGTCACGCAGTTGAGCCTCATAGGCCTCAACCACCCCGCGGTCTGAAGGTTCCACCCACGGGTTTGCCCTGGAACCGAAACTGAAGATCCTTAAAAATACCCTGGAAGGGGCACCTTAGAATATATGGTCCCCTTAAAACTCTGAGTCTGTTAAAGTTCATACAACTTCCAAACAAAAGGAGCTCACAAAACACCCCAACTGAAACTGTCGCGATTCTCTGGCATTTTTACTGGTTGGCTTTCTCGGTGGATTTTTATACTTTAACTATGTATTTTCTTCGCCGCACTACCCCGGAATAAATTTTGTGTGAATACTAAATTATACAGTAATATAAGCCTCTGCGAAGCAACCAAACCCTGCAAAGAAAAACACCTTTTTCAAAAAACGTGTTTTGGCATACAAAATGCCAAAAACACGTTTAAAGTGGTTTCAGAGTACATGGCCAAATCCCAAAAAGGTGTTTTGTATGGATCCTCATCTAAAAGACATCTTCAGGTTTGTGCCATCTACTCTAAAACCACTGTATTTTGTGGAAAACTAACTTTATCGTGAAAACGAACCGTATTTATCCCGTGCAAAAACCGTCATTTACCCGCACACAAAGACACGTTTTTTGTTGGACGGTTTGTGAGAAATGCGTTTTTAGTTGCAAACACAAGAATTTTCAATAACTACCCTACATTTTTCATCCTCTGTACTTGTAACCTTGTACATCACATTTTATAGAAAAATGGTGTCTATAGAATGAGTTGCCTGGGATAAATTGTCTATAAAATGACAAGCCTAGTATTTATATAAAGTGGCTACTAGCAATCCAAACAAAAGAATAAACAGTATCACAATCAGAAAAAAACTGTCTCTATAAGATGAGGTGACTTGGATCTGCATATCAAAAGCCATGAACGTATTGTTTTATTTTCGACTGTTACTTTTTTTTTGAGTTGGTGAAAAGTTCAATGTCCTTAACTTTGATCATGTATAACTTTAATGTGAAGCATGTCATCGGACCTGTACCCCTTGTACCAGAGCGATGCGAATGGACGCCAAAAGCGATCGACCGTCTTGAGGCTCTATAAAATGACATGCCTGGATTCTTATCAATCAAGCATTGAAGTCCTATAGAATGATCCCCTAGACATCCTGATCTTAACAACACACAACAATATGACCCCCTCCCCGCTCGCTCTATAGAATGCCTTTCCTGCATCCTTGCACATCATCTCATCTGAAGTACATACTTGCACAAGCAGTCCTCCATAAAATTATCCCTGTGATGTTCAAAAATATTTTGGAAAACTAAAACCACATGATCTACATAAAATGGGTGTCCAAAACCCATTTCATAGAGGAAAGTGATTGTAATTTCAATGTACAAAGTATCATTTTTCTAGGTTCTGGATGGTCTTGGTAGTACAAAAACCGCCCCCCGCAGCAAGTCTCTGACGTTCTTTTGATCGTGTTGCTGAAGCGGTCGATGTACGATGTGTCGCGGTTGGATTTTCACATCCAAGTTTTACCGAGTCCGTTTGGCTGGCCCACAAGATCCTTCCGAGTAGTATACAGTATATAATCACCAGAAACTGAAATCGCGTTTCCCTTTTCTTCGCTTGACACGAAAGGGCTTCATTGTTCATGCCCAATCCTCAACAACCTTCACAATCATTCATTCACACATTTCAACTCATGGAATTAGGGATTCTGCTCTCCCCTTCCAGGCGTAGCCGGAACTTCTGAATCCCGACAAAAACGCTATGTGCCCTCTTCGCACACTCAAATCACAGAAAAATTTTTCATTTCTTCCAAGCTCAAGCCCTTTCTAAACCACTCTCACTCAGCGCACAAGCTCTAAGCCGCAGGAGGCTAAGGAGGCGAGGCCCAGCAAGCAAAAAAGGCATTCCCCAAGAATCTCCTCTCTGCCAGCTAGGGTAAATTCCCCCATTCAACCGCCGCAAACACATGCACTGAGAGCCATGTCTTCAAAAACGAACTTGGAAACACTGCACCCTCTCTCTCAGCAGGAGCCCGCACTCCCGGTCGAAGATGCTAGCGGCTCTGTGGCTCGGGCAAGGATGCTGAAGCCGAACCATCGCTGCTTCAAGTAGTGCATTCCATGGCTCCCACGTCGGTCATCCGAGCGCAGCAGCATACGACCATCATCAAGCCATGCCACGGTGATCACTCTTGATGAAAGTCCGGTGGATGTCACCGGGAGAGAAAGCTCGCTATCAAACAGCTTCTTCCTCCATCCACCATGACGATGAATCTTCATCACTACAACCCCATCTGGGAATCGCACCACACACTCATGCATCATCCCATTGGACGGCTTGACACTCAGGATCTTCACCACCGTGTCGTTGAAAAACGCTCTGCAACTCCTGCCCTCTGACACGGTTAAGAAATTCTGCCATCGACTCTCCGCCCCGTGATGTCATCACCTCAAAGTCCAGGCGAGTAGGCAGCGGTATGTCAAAGGCTTCGGTCCTCTCTGCTCCTTCTGGTACTCGGAGATCTCGATCTGATGGCCCACCTTCCCGAGCTTGAGAACCCCGAGGTTGTAGTTCCCGATCATGTACTTGAGGAACTCTAGAATGGAGCCCCCCTTCTGGTACTTGAGGATCCCGAAGTTGTAGCCCCCCTTCTGGTACTCGAGGATCCCGAGGTTGTAGCTCCCCTTCTTGTGTCTGACGAACACGATCTGGATCCTTCTCTACTCTCAAACTTCGGACTCCAACCCCAGAACTTCCAAAAGCACCCCCTCCACGAATTGTTCTCGACAACTCCTTCACTTCCCGCATAGGTGCCTCCGAGACCTTTTCAAAGATGATTTGAGCGATTCGATCTCCCACCTCAAAGGACGCTGTCTGCTCCCCGTGGTTGACCAAGATGACCTTCACCTCCCCACGGTAGTCGGCATCGATCACTCCCCCCGCCACATCCAGCCCTCTGGAAGCCAACGAACTACGAGCCGCCAGCCTCCCATATAGGCCACGAGGGATCTCAAAGGCCAATCCCGTAGAAATTAGCTTGCGTTCACCAGGAGCTAATTGGCATTTGACTGCTGTGGAAATGTCCCAACCGGCAGCCCCAGGTGATCCTTTCTGTGGAAGTGTGGCCTCATCATCTAGGAGCTTCACCTTCAAACTCTCTTTCCCCACAATGAGCCTTTTCAACACCTCCAATCCCAGGTCCTTCACCATATGGAGAATGCAAACCAGCCCCGCCAGGAGAACAAGCCACCCCACATCTCCAAACATAGAAGATCCTCCTTGTGAGGTTAGTTCACCTTTCTCGCACACTTCACTTGCAGCGCCATGAGGAAGAAGGGATGCTCCAGCCATCAACATTGCCATGCATCTGGAGACTCTCACCTTTTGCTCACATTGGACTGTCAGCACTTCGCTCACCATCTTCTCATCACCCTGACGTAGGTGAACCCCTTGACAAAAACGTTCAAGAGATTGAGCTGGTAGCGACTTCGTCAGCGCATCGGCCGCCTAAGCTGTCCCCACTCTATGAGTCAAAGTCACCTCTCTCTCACGCAATGCCTCCGTCAAGCAACTGGCTCTGATACGAAGATGCCTGGTCCGCCAGCCACCCCCTGAACCCGAAGCAAGGACCACAGCTGCTCTGTTGTCGTTGTACAGCTCCAGTTCCACCTTGCCCATGAGCAGTTCCACCAAGGCCCTGACTGAGCGTCCCGAGTGCAGACCTTCAACCAGCGACGTCAACTCGGCTTCGGCCGTGGACAAGGCCATGAGGCTTTGCTTCCTACTCTCCCACTGCACCGGACATCCAGCCAGCAAGATGATGGTCCCCGAGATGCTATGGCTGTCCCCCGGAGAAAACGAAGCATCGACCAACACCTCCAATGTGCCAGGCTTCCTCGGAGTCTTCCTTGCCAAATCAGGGTCATCGTCCACAGGAACTCCCACTGGATAACACAAACCAAAATCCATTGTGGCTCGGACATACGCCAGGACCGCCTCCCCCAACTTCACCGTCCATGAAGGCGCCTTCACAGCCCATTGGGACATCTTCATGACCGCCCAAGCAATGTCTGGTCTTGTTTTCCCAGAAAGCCACAACAACTCACCCGTGACCTTTTGTGCCTCTCTCACACGATGCAGCGACGGTGCTTCCTCCTCCTGCCCCTCCGGAACCTTGATGAAAGATGCAGACGTTCCTCCATCATGACGATCCAACACCTCCCTGACATAGCTTCCCTGGTGCAAATAGTAGCTTCCTGAAGCCAGTCTTTGAATCTCGATTCCCAGAAAACGCATGGGAGCTCCGCCAACTTCTGCATACTCTGGATTTGAGGTTGACCATACAGACTGTGGATGGTCTTCGAGGCCACATCTGTCACTGGCCTTGGGCCCACCATAAGGATATCATCGACATAGACAATCATATAGCCCAGAACTTCACCCCACTCCCTTGTCGATGAGGCAGGTGTCGATGTAACCTCTTGTATGGCCCACAGGTTCGCATCCTTCAACGGTCTGAACCCGAACCTCTTGTCATTGGAGTCTTCCTCCTGGTCGTTCATGGTGATCACCCCCTCCATCTTTTGCAGCTCGGCATCTCTGTAGACGCTCCAATCCTTCGGAGACGTAACAAGTCCGTACATGGCGGAAGTGATGACCCAGTGTTCGTCTGACTTTGCCAGCTCGGCATCCACAAGGATTTTGGGAGGTTTGACAATGACCAGATCACCTTGTGCCTTGGGTGCTAGAAGAAAGGCCGACTTCACATCCAGCGAAAGACAATGCCAGTCGTGAAGGGATGCGACTCGGAGCATAGCACGAAGCTGTGTAGTGTCTGCCCCCGTAGCATAAACCTCCTCCCCCGACCTGGATTCCATATAGTTCCCGCAGCATACGATGCGAGCCCGCCTTCTGCCTCCTCCAGCCTTTCTGGTGAACACACCCATCCCTGGGATGATCTCAGCACGTTGCCCCTTTTCTTCAGCCTCCCGCACCAGGCCTAGAGCTTCCTTCTCTGAGACTCTGTGGATTGCC